CGTGACAAAGACCTTCGGATACACGAATCACACGGTTTTGCCAGAGGCCCTGGAGAAGTGGTCTGTCCCGTTGGTGCAAAACCTGCTACCACGGCACATGCAGATCATTTTCGACATCAACTTATATTTCCTCCAGCATGTCGAGAAGAACTTTCCGCAAGATAGAGACTTACTGTCCCGGGTGTCGATTATTGAAGAGTCCCACCCGAAGATGGTGAGGATGGCTTACATCGCGATTATTGGCTCCCATAAAGTCAATGGGGTCGCAGAACTACACTCAGATCTATTGCGGACCACCCTTTTCAAAGATTTCGTGACAATATACGGCCCGGACAAGTTCACCAATGTCACCAATGGAGTTACTCCACGTCGTTGGCTACACCAGGCAAACCCACGTTTGTCTGATCTAATCGCTTCCAGGCTCGGAGGATATCAATTCTTGACTGATTTGACACTTTTAGACCGGCTCGAGGCTTTCGTCGATGACAAGGCATTCCAACGTGAATGGGCCGAGATTAAGACCGCGAACAAGATTCGTCTCGCTAAACACATCAAAGAGACCACCGGTTACAGTGTAAATCCACAGGCTTTGTTTGATATTCAAGTCAAGCGTATCCATGAGTACAAGCGGCAGCAGCTTAACATCTTCGGTGTCATCCACCGATACTTGAGGATCAAGTCAATGTCTGCGGAAGAGAAAAAGAAGGCACTGCCGCGCGTGTCCGTCTTTGGAGGCAAAGCAGCCCCGGGCTACTGGATGGCAAAGACTGTTATTCACCTGATTAACAAAGTTGCCTCCGTGGTAAACAATGACCCTGAAGTTGGTGATCTTTTGAAGGTGATCTTTGTCGAGGACTACAACGTCAGTAAGGCCGAAATTATCTGTCCAGCGTCTGATATCAGCGAGCATATCTCTACCGCTGGTACGGAGGGCAGCGGTACTAGTAACATGAAATTCGTCATGAACGGTGGCTTGATCATTGGAACTTGCGACGGTGCTAACGTATGAAGCCCCGTATCCCATCTGCGATGCTAGCACTGACGATTGCTCCTGTATAGATCGAGATTACCAGAGAAATTGGGGAGCAGAACATATTCCTCTTTGGAAATCTAGCAGAAGATGTGGAAGAGCTTCGCCACCGACACCTCTACGGCGATTTCCAGCTTGATCCTCACTTGGCTAAAGTCTTCGATGCAATTCGTGGCGGCATGTTCGGTGATGTCAACAACTTCTCCGCACTCATCGCCTCCATTGTTGAGCACGGAGATTACTACCTAGTGTCTGACGACTTCAATTCGTATATTACCACGCAGGACTTGGTTGATGAGTCGTTCCAGAACCGCGAAGAGTGGTTAGCCAAGTCCATCACCAGTGTTGCCCGCATGGGTTTCTTTTCGACCGACCGCGTGATCAATGAGTACGCCGAAAGCATTTGGAATGTAGAGCCCCTCGAGGTGGAGAATTAGAAAGTGGCTATTGTTGAAGTTGGACTCCTGCATCATCTGGTCCTTCCTTTCGGTTTGTCGTTTTGTCACCCGCTCTATTCTTCCGCTTTTCTTTCCTCTTGGCGAGTTGGGTTAAACTTCTAGTATTACATGGATCCTACACTCGTAACGCCGCCTGATGAACAGGAGAGAGATGCTTATGACGGAGCCATTCACTCACTCGGCAGTAACTCATTGTTTGGATCAGCAATTATCAAACAGCTATATTCTATGCAACTAACTGTTCTTACAAAGTTCCATATGTCTTCTACATTAATCATGAATGTGTAAGTTGCCCCAAACGCGCTACACATACCATAACGCAACCATTGCACGGCAAGTGACACAGCGACAACAACTATAAACCCCATATATACTCTATATCCCTTCAGGTAAATGAACACGTGAACGAATCACGGCCCTACGCGCTCAATTCAGCCATGCGCCTCTGCAACTCTGGCACCATGCGAAGTTGGAGGTCCAGCTCCTCCTTCTCACTGTAATAAAGCGCTGTGTTAGCTCATCTCCCATGATGCAGCCACCAAAAGAACTCGGAGCGAAGCAACTTACTCTTCCAACTTTAGTCTCCTTTCCCAGTCCAGACCAGTAAAGATGTAGCTTCCTTGCCCATCAAACTGCAGAATCTTCTTGTGATATTTCCAAAGACTCCGTCGGTGGGACACAGTCATCAGCGTAGTACCTAGCTTCTTGGCTGTTTCGTACATGACACGTTCAATCTCCAAAGTAACCGAGGAGGTGCACTCGTCCAAAATGGCGAACTTTGGCCGATGATAGAATAGTCTGGCCATGGCTATCCGTTGTTGCAGACCACCGGATAGGACGTCGCGCCATTCTTCCTCGGCGTCCCAACCTCCAGGGCGATCAACAACAGAAGCGATCTCCACGACTGAGAGGATCTCGTAGAGATCATCGTCGGTAATTCCCTTGGCGCGCATTTCGCGGACACCGTCTGGGTAGATAACTTGTTGGCGGAGCGTACCTCGCGAAAGATACGGGCGCTGAGGGATGTAGAAGATGTCGTCAAATCGGGGCTTCTTGACTTGGCCTCCGTAGACAGGCCACAGGCCACCGAGAATTCGAAACAGGGAGGACTTGCCGCATCCGTTTGGTCCAACAATCAGAAGGTGGTCGCCAGGGTGCACGGTGAAGGACAATTTGCGGACGAGAACATCGCCGTTTGGTGAAACAATGGGGACGTCAGTAAATTCAATTGAATCACTTTCCTCGACGACTCCGCGACCAGATAAGATGGCGGAGTTTTCTTCTGTGGAGGCAGAGGACACAAGCTTCTTCTCAAATCGGCCGGCTAAGAGGTCGTCCATAACCTCTAGCAACGAAGAGACACGGGCTGTGTGACCAGCTAGTTCGGAGATTTCTTTGTAGGAGAACATTAGACGCCCAAAAGCGTCTGAGGAAGAAAGCAGCATTCTTCGATTGGTAACGAAGCCTGTTTGATGCATGTCAGTCACCGTGCTGATGTATAGGTTTCTAGACTGGGTGCAAATGCTTACTCTCGGTACGGTCGCCCATAGTTTGAGTGACTTGGCCGGGAATGCGGAAGAAGACAGGGATACTGCAGAGGATCAATCCCAAGGCACCCCAGAAGTACTTGATAACGAAATCCTCCATGAATCCGTGGTATAAGCGTCTGCGAAGAATGCGGTTCACGTGTTTAATTAAAGTGAAGTAGCCCTTATCCAAGGTGTCCTTTTCTGCCTCGTGGCCGTGGTAGAGAGCCACCTCTTCGCTGTAGTCGATCAAACGCGAGTGCAGGAACCGGAACTCGCCTTCCAGACGTGCTTCGTCGGCCACATATTTGCCGAATGGTGGCGTCAAGGCTCGCATAACATTGGCGGATAATTGCACCAAGAGGCTCATAATAAACAGGCCTTCTCCGCCCACACTCTTGGAAAGAGAGTAGTTGTAGATGGCCATGTCGAGAATCGGTTTTGCCAGGTTGGAGTACAGCTCTGCCAGGCTGTCGGAGAACCTTGAAACATCTACTGTGATGAGCTGGTCGGGGTTCTTGACCCGATCGTCCAAAGCGGATATGGCATAGAACGTCATGTTCGACAAATATTTGTCATGGATGTAGTCTGTCAGGCGTTTGCGGTAAGAGAGAGCGAGTTTGCATTGGTGATAAGATAGCTACCGCAACACAGAAGGGACTTAGCTTCTGAACCTTTCTCTTCTGTGAATATGAAGCCACTTACCATGGAGTTCGTGAATGTCGCAGGAACTGCCACTATCATCCACCACACTAGCCCCAGCAAGAAGTCCTTGCCTCTCCCTCTCACCAGATTGCTAACCAGCCGGCCATCCAGCTCGGCTACATACAGACTCAGCAGTGTCCGCAGCACCAGGAAGACACTGTGGCCAAACAGAAGCCGTAACTCTTTGCTCCGCCAACCGGGGATCACGATCTTCAACAGACGAAGCAGATTGCGAAAGAACTCCCGGTTGACTTCGACCTTTTTGCGCGGACGATCGCCGCCTTCGCCAAGACTACTGGTTCCAGGGCGTCGGCGCAGTTCTTCCTGGTGGTGGGAGGCGGCCTTTTGCTCGGAGATGGCATTATGGACGCGTTTCACGAGAGCGGCGAAGAGAGCTAAATACACAGTACGGGAGATTTGTTTACGATGACGGAGGTAGGTGGCAGCCAGGCGGGAGAAGAGGTGTCGGATAGACCGCTCGGGCGGAAATAACTTGGATTGCGCAGCCATAGTTGCGACGTGAACCCCGGAAGTGTAGTTAGCCGAAGTCGATGACGGCTAACATGACCGGTGAGGACAAATGGAAAGGAGGGAGATGAAGAGGGACGAGAAGGAGAATGAGGATGAAGAGAGGGAGGGAGGGAGGGAGGGAGGGAGGGAGATATGATGGGGGAGAAGAGCGAGGGGATGACGATTGAAGGATGATGGATGGGGGCTTGACATGTGAATAGGCCCGGGGGCTCCTTCCCTCCCCGGATTCTCGGGGCCTGCCGAGGATGTCCGCCTTATCTAAGCGGGGAACTGTTTACATTCCACTCAACTATTGACTATTGATTAACTCGTCCACCATCGCTAATATCACAACGCATAGATATTAACAACATCAAAACCCTACCCTCAACACCTCTTGTAGTACTCAACTTCCTATATGCCTCGGATTCCCCCATGCACCTTCAGCACCAACGCCTTTACCCACCCTTAGCCTAGATTTCCCCCCTTCCGTTATGAAAAAGAACAACAAACAATAGGTAAAAACGAAAGGAGATTGCCACCGCAGATACACATCGCATGTGCGAAGTAGATTAGAATACAGATAATAATGTCACGCTTGTCGGTGACCTATATACAAACTAGGGCCATCCTCTGCCGGCAGAGATCCCAGTCATCCGTCCATACAGAAATAGTAGCCTCATCGCCAGCTAGACGAGGGAAGAAGCACCTGTGGGTATGAACAAAAGCCAGAAATCGGCTATGATTAACCCAGTCAACCCAGGTTCCAACTCAGAGAGAAGCCTGCTGATCTGATTCGGTATCTTCGTTCCCATGGCTCCTGCTAGACGATGTCCTTTTGCCACTGTTGAATTGCGCAGCGATTTGGCTTTGCCGGAACTTCTCAAAGGTTTCCGCATCGTTCTTACGAGCGGCCCATAACTCCTCCACTGTGTTGCCCAGATCTCCCAGCGCTTTGTCCGCATCCACACTCTCAAAAGGTGTGTGGGTTTGTTCCTCCTGCAGACGATCAAGTTTATCACGCAAAGCGGCCATATGGGACTCTTCGAATGAGAATGCCGACATATCATCGTCAGCCTGATCGAACGAAGGCCGGAGGAAATCGCGCCGAATGTTCTGCCCGAGACGGTGAACATGGCCTTCCTCGGAGGTCATTGCGCGTGAATGAAGCGACGTAATCGAGCTTGACCGCGATAGTCGGACGGCATATTGCTCCTCCTCGTCATCTGCCACGGCCTCGGCATCAGCGCAGGTGCCATTCAGCTGGGTGTTTTCAGACACGGGCCCGTTCCATGCGTCGTCGTTAGAACCCTGTGAGCTAGTATCCTGGATCGCATACGATGGGATGGACTGGGGTATGATGCGGGTCTCAGGATATTCGTCCTCAAATCGCTGGATCATGCGCTGTAAGGTGAAGTCAAGGAATTGAAGACGCCCTGCAGTGGAAAAGCTAGTTAGCATCACCACCTAAAAAGGGGGAGTAAGAAAGGCAACATACGGTAATTGGTGTCATTGCCGGCCTTATCTTCGCGAACAAGGGCCGACTGGATTCGCGTCCGGATATTACGTGCAGACTCCAAGAGGTTCTTAGACATGTCACGGGGTCGTTTAGTGACATAAGACCTGGATTTCCTATGCCTGGGTGTAGTTGTGCCACTTGGGGGTCCGGACTGGTCTCCTGGCACATGGCGATCCACGTTACCGAGGCAAACACCGAGAGCTTTGACGACGCCGGTCCCTCCAATGACATAGTCCTCATCAGGTGCAGCCTCGTCAACTTCCTCCACCTCATCTCCAGTACCGTGGCCGACGATATGCTGCAAAATCTCCGGAACATGGACGGCTGATCTCGTGGGTGTATCTGTTGGATCGGAAAACTCTGCTGCAATGGCACCTTGCTCCAGATTCTTGAGGGAGTAGGCGACTATCTGGGAAGCCAAAGCCTTCACAACCTCGTTGTTTTCGGCAGTAGGGACTTCTATCTCCACGGCTATGATCGTTCTGGAAACACGCACTGCCGCCATCAAGGATGCATACACAGCACATGCCTCTTCTTGATTGGCGGGATCCGTCGCAGATGCCAATGCCGTAATGGCTGGGTTTTCGAGAATGTTCAAGTGGCATAAGCTGGGACATTCGGGGAGGACCTCGGCCAGAGCAATGGTTTGGTCAGGAGACAAGTTGACGTCGGCCAAATGGATGCGTTTGAGAGCAGGCATTTTGGGAAGAAAACGCCGGAAGGTTGCTAGCGCATCGGGCTGCATAGTGAAAAGACCTGGATTGTGGGAGAAATCAACAAAACGAAGGTCCGGCAATTTTGTCAATCCTTGGAACAAGGGGTAGACGGTAGAAGGCGTAAGTGAACAGTCAGCCAAGCTAAGAGCATACAGCGGGTGGTCTCCCGTGAAAGAAGATATGATCAAGTCCAACTGGTCTTGGATGGGATTTCCACCCAGATCTAGCCCCTCGCATTTCCCTGCCTTGAGATAATCAACAATGTGCTCCAGACCTTCCCTGCTCAGCTCGTTATTGGCAAAGCCAAGTCTCCTCAAGCCAAGGGTTGTGGCTGCATCACATATTTTCTTCACATCTTCGGTCGTAGGTCGGCATTCGCTCAGCAGCAATTCTTCCAAGTGGTCCCCGCCAAAGCGTTGTGCGAGCGAAGTCGCGAAGAGAGTCGCTACGTTGGTGACGTTCTGGGTTTGCGAGGCTCCTTTGTTGGAGCAGTTGACAGTAATGGGTGTCTTGGGAAGAGGAATGCCAGACAAGTCGATCGCCTTCAAGGATTTTGATAGGTGGACAAATAGGCAGATATGACGCCAGCCTTCTGGTCCGATTTTGGGGTTATCTTTCAGCGACACCTTCTCAACGACGCTGAACCGCTGTTCTTTCTCCGAAGTCACCTCCTCTGCCTTCTTTCCCTTTCTACGCCGCTGCATCATCTGTTCCACGGTTCTAGTTGAAAGTAGTGCAGCGAGAATAGATCGCACCGAGTCGTCAGTCAGAGCACATCTTTCAATGATGAGCTTTCGAACGGGTACAACAGCGAGCCAATCGCAGAAAGTAGCAATATCCTCGGCCGTCATAGGGAAGTCGCTGAGGTCAAGCACGGCCACGGTTCCTGGAGACTCGGCTAACGTGGAGGAAGGTGATGAGATCTCGTCAACTATACGCTTGAGCACAGGTGTCTCGCGCAGTTGACAACAGCGTCTATATATCCGCACAGGATCTGTCGTTGGATGACTCTGTGTCTTAGTACGGCTCGTATTAGATGCAGGCGTTCGGCAACCATATTCCTGGCCGTCGGCTGTGAGTTGCATGGGTATGGAGCCATTTGCTTCTGCCTGTCTGCGTCTTCTTTCCCTCCGCTCACGTCTTTCTTCTTCTGACCTCTTCTTCTTTTCCTGCTTTCGTGTTGGCTCTTTCGTCTCGCCATTGGCATTCGCTTCAGCTGGCGGTGTGTCTGTTGATCCAGAAGTCTTCCCATCCGCCCCGTTTGTTGGGCTACTCTTGTCCTTGGAAGAAACCACAGCCTGGGGATTCTTTAACGCGGCAGCTTCCTCCTTCTCTTTCGACTTGATATGCGATCGTTTGGACTTTTGGTTGTTAACCTCTGGGACAGGACGTCGCCTACTACTTGCTGGTGGGCTGTCTTCATCCGAATCTCGGTAGGATATCCCAGCGATCTCCACATCCACACAAAAAGCGACACGGCGCAATTTGGCAGGATTCAGATCCGGGATCTTGCACCTATCTCGATCCGGATCGATGTTCATTACGCGACGTTGGCAGATCGTACCAGTAGAAGCGGCTTTACCAGTACCACCAGATGCGGATGACGAAAGTTTCCGGAAGGCGCTCTGAAGGAACGAAGGACCTTTGGGAGATGTTGAGGCGAAAGGGCTATTCTCATTCGTCCTCTCTTCTTCCTTGTCCTTTGGAGAATATGCCGCACCGAAAGGATTGTGCATGTCCATTTTCGAAACAGGAGAGGTCGCCTTCGGGCTCTGCTGTGCCTTCACATTCGACTGCGACGGTGGAGTAGAACCAGAGGAAAACTTGGAGCTCAGGGTCGATATCCAAGAGTTCCTTCGTCCGGTGACCGGCCTAGGCGCGGTTTTCGGAGTAGCTGGCGATGTGCCAGTAGGCTTTCCCTCCACTGACTTGTCTTCATTTTTCACCTCCTTCGTGGCCTTCGCACCATCTTCTTGTGACGAACTCTTAGATATGGTAGGAGTGAGGGGGGCTGATGCTGAAGAGTTATTATCGGTAGTGCTTGGTTTTTCGAGACTTCGTTCTTGGGCATATGTGACATCTGGATCCGCGACAGACTTATCGCTAACCACTGATGATGCCGATTTACAGCGCGACAGATGGTCTTGCGATCAAGTTAGGAAAGGTACACAAAAAGACATAGTAGCAATTGAGCGACGTCCGGCTTACCTTTTTGCGAGTGATGCAGCCAGCTGACATCCACAGTCTCAATCCCTTCCATTTTGAGTCCGTATGCGATTCAATCACAGTATGCTAGATAAACAGGTGTAAGAGAGACGACGTCAGCTCGCTGGTGAACAGCAAAGCGGCGGTCCTCAGGCGAAAGCTGAGCCCGGTTGGCGCGATAGTGGATGCAGATCGAATTTCGGAGGCTATATCGCTGCACGAGTAGTCCAGAGTAGAATAATCCGACAGATCTACTATGCCTCGCGACGAGAATGAAAAATCACAGTTTCAGCCAGCGGATGATTAAGAACGGTGACGGTGGGTACATTCCATCATGGTACTGCGGCGAAGTACTGCGGACATGGTGACACAGCGGAGTAACGGGGACAAGAACGTAAGACGAGCGACGTCAATAGGGGGGGGTGAGAAGGATATGACGAGGGGGAAAGGGGAATGCAATGAAAGATGGGGATGTCAAGGAGGAGAGGGAAAATTAGTATTTTCGAAAAGGGTCTAGAATAGAAAAAGGGAGAGAAGGGAAAGAAAAGGGTTGCGGGCAAAGCAAACCAGTTGAACTGAAGGCGATCGGGATGAGGAGGGAAGTGGCTCAACTGGGACTAGTGGGCATAGCATGATTCCCGCCAGTGGGGAGTTCGGCGATTACACACTCGAGTCCGTTGCGGAGAAATTACTAGACGGTATTAGAAACGGGTACTTGTGACCGTTTCTTACACATATCCTCTCCCCCTCCGTCTACGGAGAAGTACTTTGGCTCCCCTGTCGACGCTTAGCATTGCGCTTGGTCCTGCACCCTGCACACATTACAGAAGTACTTAAGATTAAGAAAAAAATACAAATGTATCGACTGATGATATCCTCACCCGATACCTGCATCGAATGATGACCCTTTTTGTCCTTTCCCACTACCCAAAAATGGACTGACGGGGGAGTCTTCTTGCCACTTTCCACACGTTCTTTCCGCATATTCCGCCTGATTTGTTTGCCGAGGAGAATTGGAAGACAGAAACTCACACGACACCCTGCCAAGCCCACCCTCAACCGGTGCTGAAATTACAAGTGCGTACGCGAACCCGCAAATCATCGATTTCCAGATAATCCTAAACCTGGGCGGGCTAGTACCGTTCGTTTGGAGCTGATGGTCGCATTCAGCGCCCGACACTACTTAGACTACCAGAAAGTAATTATGGGTACCGTGTATGGAGTAATTAGATTCTGGAGTACCTAAGTAATCTTCGTGTGCGTCGTTCATCTTGCCATTCGTTTACTCTTTCCTGGGTTACTCTACATAATGTGTGTGTGTACGTGATAGGTTCTAGATACTCCTCTTTTTAGCACCTGACCCGATCGACTGCGATCCCACAGCTACTACTTAGATCTCTTGTTCTGGTTAATAATATAGTTTAGTTATGAGTTCATGTCTGTCCAACAGCAAGAACTGATCGAATGATAAGCCACGCGAGCGATCTCCTTTCTTAACTAACCCTCTACTACTTGCACCAGCATCTACCCACTACTGGTATCTCAAAGTCCCGCTCTTCAGTTTCCCTTTCGAGTGGCGTTCTCACCACACGCCCATCATGATCATCACACCTGGCCCTCTCAGCGGACATAACCACAAGATAGTAAGTTTATTTCTCCGAGCCATCTGAAAGAAAGCAAACCGAAGATCCAAAGACTCGAATCCGATGGCAAATTAAACAACCCGAATAACAGAGTATAATAACCCATGTTCCCATAGTACGTGGTGCCTTGATCCATTGAACTTAACGCGATCCACTTTATGGAACCCGAGAGGAGAACATGTTGATCATACACTCTAACCAGCAAAGTGCACCTTTCTTTTTTGCCATCCCTGCTCAAAGTACGTAGCCAAGTTAGTTAGTACGTACGTACTTTGAATGGCGACGCCCTTAGTGGAATATCAGCTCCGACGTATGAGGCTTGAGGACTGAAAAAGAAGGATGGAAATGTCATACGGTGTTACACAGATCAGCCTGAAAAGCATGGATGATCTTTGCGCAGAATATGCTTAAGTAGAAAGTCGGATGATGTCATCTGCCAGTTTTTTTTTTCTCTCGCTTAAAGGAATGACATGTCATTCACTCATTCATCAGATTAAGCCTGGGGCTGAATATCTACCCGCCTACACTCAGAGTATACTTACTACTTAGTTGGTAGTACTACACAGTAGCGTCCGATCTACTCGGGTTGGGTCGTTGTTGCCGCTGTTGTTGTCTGCCATCAACCACCAACAAGTGCCTAACTAACCCACTACTAGTAGTAAGTAACCAGTAGCAAGCATTGTCTTCGTACAACCATGCCGAAGCATCCGCATTCGTTTAGGAATATCAACTCGTCATGGACTGCGTCAAAAAAACAACATTAGTTCGATGCAGACAGAAGAATTTTCTCCATGGCCCCATCAGAACAAACAAATGGGACAGGTTACATTCTCCGAGGAAGGTATACTATCCAGCCAGCCTCATCATCTCGAAGCAATTGGCCGGACAGAGCAACATGTTCCGAGAGTGACGGCACAGGAATGGCAGTTAGGGCTTCAGGGCTAGTCCGAATGAGGACTAGTGCGCGATGCATGTTACCCAGAGCGGGAAGATGCTCCTTGAGGGTTGCACAATGCTTTTGGGCTATCTACCGAAATTTTGCTGCTTGTTCCCCCACATATCCGAGAGGGGTCTTCGAACAATCCATCGATAGATTAATCCACTTGGACTGAGAATGTTAAGACGGTTGAAGGATGGCGGGGGCTCATGATGATGGTCCACTGTGACACTAGTATAGCGGGCGTTATTGTGGTTTCTACAAGTTGTGTCTAGTGTCTACATTGCCATTTTACCGGAGCATTTCGTAGATGGTCAATTAATATCCCATTGTGCGCGTTCCTTAATTGCTCCGAACGCATAAAAACTCAACCCTGCCATATAAACTCCGGTCATGAAGATTTCATCAAGACTACTGGATATCACAAAAAAAGTAGTAGAAGTAGTGGGCAAGAAGAACCTTAATCCCCCTATATTTCAAAGAGAATTATCAAACTTTTTTGACTATCGCACTCATAGTTTCTTTTTTTGAGGGGTAAAAACCATCAAGCACGATCGGCCTCAGAAGTCCGACATTTAAGCAGCAAGCTCACGGATCTTCTGCTCAACACGCTCCTTGCGCTGCTCGCGGGTGAGGCGGACAGGGCGGAACTTCTTGCTCTCGGCCTTCCACTCCTCCTTGGTCTTCTTCTCACCAGCATCCTCGTCCTTCTTGAAGGGGTCCTCACGGATGGCCTTGTGGGCCTCAGTGTAGAGCTCCTCAATGTCACCAGCCTCAACACCAGCCTCCTGGTACTTGTGGAACTGGGAGCGGAAGCGCTCCTCATCGTCGTCGGCAAGACCCTCCATGTACTCAGCAACGTGACCACCGAAGATGTAGTTGCGGAGAGTCTCAGCGTCGAGCTCCTCGGACTCGATGTCGAAACCGGGGAAGCGGCTCTCGGAGTGGGGAACGAAGATACCACCGTCGGAGGCACCCTTCATGGCACCGAAGACACGGGCACCAGTGGAGGTACGGGCAAGACCGACATCAAGGAAAGCCTTGAAGGGGCGGCGGGAGCCCTCGTCGGTCTCAGCGGCCTCGGTGAGGGTGTACTCACCATCGGCCTCCTCGACACCGGGGAACTGCTCATCCAGGCCGAGCTTCTTGAGGGTACGGCGGGCAAGGAGGAGACCGGTGGCGTAGGCGGCAGCCCAGTTGGTCAGACCGTTGGTGATGCCATAGCGCTTGAGCTCGTGGGAGTAGGCGCTGGCGAAGACCTTGTCACCGGAGATCTCAGAGTAGACGATCTGGGTGATGATGTCGCGGTTGGTGAAGCGGACGACCAGGCGGTACTTGGGGGCGTTGTACTTGTTCTTGGCCTGGGTGATCAAGCGCTTACGGGCATAGTAGTCGGTCTTACCCTCACGGCGACGACGGTACTTGGTCTGGTAGCGGCTGTACAGAGAAAATTTGTTAGTTCCATGACAATTTTGGACGAAATGAGGGGTCTTGTAAATTTCTTACCTGTAGTAAGCGCTGTTCTTGACGAGCTTGTGGAAAGGCTACAAGACACAGTCGAGTCAGCAATTTGCGCTTCAGAGAAAGACCGTCCGAAGCATCTTGCAAAGACCCGTTTCCAATCCCACAGTGCGGTCGCCCATGTGGGATGACCTGAAATTTTCGTTCAGGCGACGGGGGAATTTGCGACGAAGTCGGTTCCCAGTCACTTGAAAATTACAGCAAAACTCACCATTTTGACGGTTGCCGCTGGTTGATGACGGGGGTTGTCGACGGTGGCTGCAAAGGAAGAGATGGGAAATTTCGTGGGATGTCTTTTGTGGAAGGCTTCGCTTAGCGTGGCTGCATCCCGGCGCCAGACTGCGGTTGGCCACGAGCGGGCTGAAGGACCGAAGTATGTACCACCACTTACTCCGTACTCCCAACAATCAAAAACCATCTATTCTCTTCCAGCAATCTTTGCTTGGAAAAATCTTATAGTTATGAATTTGTAAGCTGTCCGAATATGATCTTTCTAGCTGGCCAAATTATACTATTTACAGCCGCGGTTTTTCTGGAGTCTCTAGCAATTGAAGGCCTGTCATCCTCTCCAGCTCCTTAACAGCATCCTGGGTCCGTCCCAGATTAACCTTCAGGGTTCGCATGCCAGCTTTCTTTGCACCCTTAAGGTTCTCTCCAATGTCATCGAGGAACACAATGTCAGACGGGCGAATCCCACCTAGACCCTTCTTCCTCGCTACCTTATCCATCTCTTGCAGCGCAACCTGATATATTTTCCCGTCGGGTTTCCTGAGACCCGTATGCGCAGATGAGATGAAGAAGTCAAATTGCGACTTCTTATCATCAATGTCTGTGTTGTACGGATGTCCATCGGGGAAGATAACTGTATTTGACAGAGCTCCCATAACGAATTTTCCTGACTGCTTCAACTTCTTCAGAGCAGGAAACATATATGGATCCGGCGTCCTAGACACCCTCATCATCTCCCAGAAGAGGAACTCTGCGTCCAGGGCGGGTAATGGAGGAACCGATGTTGGCGCACTACTATCCGGGCGCTGTTTCTGAAGTCTCTCGTGGAACGCCTTCCATAGGTCAGGGTTTCGTAGATCCTTGTTAAATTCCTTAAAGAAGTCGGCATCCATCTTGATCTCCCCGCGCTCAAGTCTGTGCCAGCTGCCGTTGGGTGAGGTACGAGAGATACTGAAGTTCACCCATCCTGGGGGAATGTTGTGGGCCAGTTCATAGTCCAGAATAGCCTGAAAGGGAGAAACAACCTGCAGCTTTATCAACAGACTATTATTTCTGGGTTGGGCAATCGCGCAGCCTTACACACACTCCTCCAATGTCGAACAGCAGACCTATCGGCCGTTGATCGTCAGCCATGGTGGCGATATACTAGTCGGCAGAGGTTCTGGGAAGACAATAGATGGGTAGAGATAGCAGCGACAAAGGTGATCTAGATGTAAGACGAAGATGTCGCTTGATGTTTGTTCTTTGGCGGAGTAGTAGAAGCCCAGACCTGGGGTCCAAGTTACCGAGGTTAGATACGAGAGATCGGTTGTTGCTTATGGTTTACAATCAAGGTCCGAGGCAATGAAAGCTGCAGGGGAATTCCAGACCCTAAAGGCCAAACCTGCGCCGCAGAAGCCCTGCAATATCTGCGGCATGAAACGTACAAATCATCAAGACGCAAGGAGATTGTTGACTCCAATCTCTGGTAATGATGGATGATGGATGGCAGGTTGGCGGAAGGGGGCACTGCGTATCCGTCACGTGTGTGCTTATCGATAGCGCCGGACGTGTTCAGTGAAGCCGAATCGCGATGGTCCTCTTTCATCCTCAGAGCCGATCACAATCCCTCACTATGGAGTCATGGAATCTACTCGTACCATCTCCGAGTTGAAGTCGTCCTTTATCAGGGCGCAAGTCCGGATACTATCTGAAGGCCTTGAGCCGCCCGAAGATTGGCGTAATTACGCCGCTGAGACTGAAGAGGATGATCTCAGTGATAAGGTGGTCGGCGATGTTCTGCAAAAGTGTAAGTGCAAGCGTCCAGAATCAAATCCTCACGCATACTGTCCCGGGATTACTGCACATGATCGCTTATCGTGCACTGTGGTTAATAAGCATATCGTTCTTCATTTTGCATATGTTTCTAACGAGTCTATGGGACACCAGTAAACGCCGCATTGAAACAACACAGTCGCATCGTCTATTCCTCCCAAGCGATTCAGCATGTCGCTCAGCAAATTACCAGCCTATACTGGTCGTCGGTAACCCAGGCAATACACAACCCAGGGTCTCTGATAAAAGGGGTTGAGAGATCGGTGGATCTATCCAGTCATCTGTGAGCCTCGAACCTCTGTTGCTGGGAAAGCGGATCGATCTAATGTCGCAGGAATATCGCACAACTCCCACTGGAGCTAGAGGACCAATCTGCGAGCGAAGAACAGCGGGCTAGGTATGAGATACCTATCGCACCGATCACAGTTTCAGCTGGTTAATTGTGATACAGATACCAAGAACTACGGGAGCGTCTTACGGACCTGAATCGTTTACGGCAACAACGACAACGGCGCCTGGATCAATTACGACAGCTGCAGCAATTACTGGAGCCTTTCCGAGAACCGCAGAAACATATCCAACCTAATCTGGTGACGAGAGATGGCGAGCTAGTCCAGGAGTTAGACAAGATGAGGATGTTGGTTGCGCGAGTTGGTGGCCGAGTCGAACAGGGGAAGAAGAAACTGGGCGCTCAGGAGCAGGACAAGCCGTATCTGGGGTGCGACCAGAAACTAGATGCCTTATTGGACATGACGTGATGACAAATAGAGAGAAAGGGCCCGGCTAGAATGACTTCATGCATTGAATGGAATGGAAGGATGCCCGAATACCTAAATTGCATGCCTTGCCTACACTTATGAGAGCGTTGCGCCTTTCATACATACATAGCCTTCTGGAGATTGAGGGTGCGGCATTGCCGGCAAAAGAGGTCGCACAGATGCATGAAAACCATTGCAACTGGATAATCAATCAGTAGATCTCAATTTCTTGACTCTACGCCGCAGGTCTCCTTTGGGCAGCTATAATTAGAGGGATTTCCCATGCAGTTACCGGAACTTTGAGAAGTTGCAAGGGGGGAAGCAGACAATTGACTGCGGCTGCAACGATCATAGCAAAGTGCCAGTGACAGGAAAGAGGAAGAAGAACGAAAGCCAAACGGTTGTTTTTGGGACTACTTACTACTTACAGAGTAGCAGCAGCAGCAGCAGCAGCAGCAGAAGCAGAAGCAGCTGCTCTGTTCCTTCTCTTTTCACTGGTTCCCACATTTTTATTTTTCTACCCATCGATTTCCCTTCCTCTTATTATTTTACATTCACCACACACTTTTTTTGAATTCATCCCTTTTTGGCATAACCCAGGTTTAACTAGCTACTTACTAGCTATCATGGAGAATTCTGGTGCGGCCACCGCCCCAAGTTGTGGCGCTGCCGAGGCTGGTGCTCGGCTGGAATCTTCCGAATTTCCGACGCTTGACTGTTTTGGCTTCTCCGCGGCCACGGTTCACTATCAGGACGAGGTGGATGACCCTCATCGCCCAGCTTTACCTGCTGCTTCCCCATTGTCTGCTGCTCTCACCGCAACGGTTCCTTTCCCCAATCTTGACGATCTAACTCCGACCGCGCACCACACCAGCTACAGCAAAAGTGAGCCCTCTTCACCCGGCATCATCAGCGCGTCTACGCCTTCCCCTGATTCCAAGGCACCCTTTGTGCGTGGGCATCGCCGCCGTTCCACCCACGTTACTCGTCGTGACCTTGAGAAATTCAGAAAAGAAGTGTTGGGTTTGGAGTCCTCTGGGTTCGGCTTTGACGACGACCATAACCTCCCCAAACCGAATCCCGCTGTCGATCCCGAGTTCAACGCATTAAACAACGCTTTTGACTCCGCAAACATGTCGATGAACAGCAGTGGGGGCATGTCGGGCAGTAGCCCTGGGTCGGCCATGTTTGCCAGCTACGGCGATAACTCTGGCGGTGCTTCGGGCATGTCCAATGTTCCTCGTCCCTCGATGTCGCCTGCGATGCCTCATCCACCGGCTCAGGTCAACGGCGGCGGAATGCCTGGTATGAACGGTGGAGTTCCTATGAACGCGGGCCATCAGATGGATCTGCACCATCTCTACGACATGGTATTGGAGTTGAGCGACGTGTTGAAGAACAATCGCGAAATGACGAAAAGTATAGTGACTAGTGCGGAGGAAATTATGGTATGTCTTTCACGAAGGTTTCATAGTCTGGTTTAACCTGGCTGACAGGGACAGAAACGGTCTGGTTCGGAGGGTACCAACCCGACTTTGCAGCAAGTGAACGGGGAAATCACCGGTAAGTGATCGTCTGGATTTCCCTTTCTCTGAACAGCGGCTGACAAGCTTAGGTGCCCGTATTACCGAGCTCGAGCGTGCCCTCGCCAAGGAGAGACGTTTAGTTGAAGTTTTACGAACCGAGCAGGCGGAGAACGCCAAATTGATCGGTGAATATGAGGCGACCCTCGGGACGATGGTCGAGCAAATCCGCAACTACTGCCAAAACAACAACATGCATTATCTGTCGCAGAAACGCCATTACAACAATCTGCTCCAAGCGGAGCGTGACTCCCATCTGGAGAGCCGCTTAGACCGTGACTACTGGCATGCGCAGACGATGAAGTGTGCCGAGATGATTCGGACGGCGTACCGACTCCGCTCCGAGGAGGAAGAACTGCCCATCCGGATTGTTGCAGGCCTACAGAATGAGGTGCGGGCGTATCGCAACGCACTTGGTATGGAGCCCGAGAGGCCAGAGGACGAATTTGGATGGGAGATCCTGAAGGATGTCCCTGGCAGCGCCGAATGAGACCGACACCGTGGGCTGCCTATACCCTGGCGGTTGGCATGATCTTAGTGGTGTTGCACGAGCTATAACGATTGGTTACCGATATATTTGCGTTAGAGGGAGTCGGCGTTTTTGGAGCAGCTGATTTTGCGGCTACGGATTTTCCCGGCGAAGATACCCATTGTTGCATGGCATGTATATGAGATCCGAATGAGATCCGTCAAAGTAGTTTTATGTATTTCTATACTTGTGAGGAGTGAAGACGGAAACAATCTTAAGAGTATTCATACAATCTATTCAGTATAAAACACCTCATCCAACACCTTCCACCACCCAGGACCTTCAGCACTTCCAATAGCCCCAGGAATCAGACTCTCCTGCACATGATATATATAAGCCTCACTTCCCTCTGACCCATCATCATACTAATGGATAGAAGAAGTAATGAACATACCTGCATCCCATCCGTCAACCCCCACCACTCCCTCACCTTCGGATTGGCCTTCATCCGCTGCATATCCCCGTCAAAATCCTCCCCGACATATTTGAACGTTGCGAACAGCGTCCGCTCATTATCGAAGAAGATGGAGTCTGCAAATAGCCATTGCCCCATTTTAGCTTCCGCACCTGCTTCTGCTTCTATTTATATATATATATATATATATAACTTTGCACCTCGTTCATGACGGGGAAATGGGGGAGGGGATGGGAGGGGATAATATACAATCGCGGATATTACACTCCTTGATCTGCTGTAGGACTTCGGGCCATACGTTCGCGTGACATTCTTTGTATGCGGCGATGGCGGAGGGCTTGAGGTGGACGATTTGGGCGATGCGGCGGGTGGGCATGTTGGATTTTGGTATGTACCACTTGGTGGGATTGGGGTGGGAGAGGTTGGTGGGTTGGTATTAAAGAGAGAGGTTGTGGACGTGTAATTCTGGTAGTGAGGATAAGATGATGGTATGGTGGTAGTAGCAGTTGCTGTATATGTAGGTTTTTGCTGTAGATTCGGGGTGATGATGGCCCGAATTGGGGGTTGGGATGGACCGAGGGAGGGGTCACACTAGATGTTGTGGTGGGGGAGAAGGGGATTTATTTGATGTTGTATTGTTTGTATACGAAGCATTTATTTTAGGTTAGGATAGCACAAGATGTAGATACTACATGTTCCTGTTTAAGAGCTGTTAGAACTTGTAGTGTGATGGCTTCATCTGCGTTATCAATTACTCTCTTACATGGATTTTTCTGGATGATTAATACCTTGACCTACTACCACTTGATTAGTAGTAGTTTTACTACTACTTACTACTACTACTGAGAGTATATTTTCCTACCCAGCAGCGCCGAAAGTACTAGTAGTACACCGTCCTCCATCCAGCACTCCAAAAGCTACTATACTACAAAGCCAGTTAATAGTCACCAATACCACCATACACACACACTACAACCAACCCTACCTCCAACCCACAGAATAAATAAATCAAAGTAAACTGAATAGTAATAAATACCCCCAACACCCCCAATCCAACCCAAGAAACTAATCTCACTAAATAGTAAATGAATAAAGTTTACATCAACCCCCCATACGTCTGTCCCTCCCTCTCCAACTCCTCATCCTCCTTAATATAATTTTCAAATCGATTCACAACCCCTTCCTCCTCTCCATGATGCGAAGGTTGGCTTTCCTCCTCTGTTTCGTGCAGATTGCTCTTCTGCTGAGAGGGGTATTTGCCGCTGTCGTCGTTCTCCTGATGCTGGGTGTCTTGGTGTTTGTGGTGGTGGAACATTTTGTCGAAGATGTTTTCGTGGTCTATAATTTATTATCATTTCATCAGTATGGATTTTATTTAATATAAGGGGAAGGGAGTGGTAGTGGGGATTTGGGGGATGGGGTGACGTACGTTGAGACATTTTGGTAGGTAGTAGGTATTTCAGGTGTTGGTATAATAGTTGGTATGATGATATCAGTTGATTTGATTCAGTTCAAATCTGATAAACTTGAACAAGGTGTGATAATCAAGTTATTTCAGTTACTTCAATTGCATTGATGAAACTATCTATCATCTAATTTATATGGCTCTTCATATAATCGGACCCGAAACTCAAAGTATTCGCTATGCCATCATCATTGCGCTTTGACTTTCCGCTGTCTTCCGGGGATCTCTTATCCGATCTACATCTGTGCATTGTGTGCTGTGTCAATGGCTTCTAGAATTCGTGTTCCATGGTTGCTTTGGCTGCTCCATTAGATCTAGCTCAGACAGACGGGGTTGCTGTACGCGAACGCAGATTTGACAGAGCAAGGCATAATGAAGATCAGAAAAATAGTAACAGTAAAAGCTCATTCTCAAATAGATTACTACATAAACATGAAATGCATCGGCTAGATATCATCAAGATCTTTCATAAACAAAGTGAATGCACTACTGCCTCACAACCGGGTTCTTCGCCACCGGCCGGATCCACGAAATGCCCACGTTCGCTGCCAGCGAGATCGCCCCGATGATCCAGAGTGATTGAGCATAGTGCGACCCATTGTAGCGGAAGATGATGGCAAAGATGATTCCACCAAAATTACCCATACCGCCGACAGCACCCGACACGACACCTATTATTATTAGCACAAAGTCATTTAATCGAGGGTTCAAAGTGAGCTCACCATTGGCAAATGGATACACATGAGGTACCAAAGAAAAGATGGCGCCATTGCAGGCTTCGAGGAAAAAGGCAAGCCCGGCCATGAGGCCGAACATGGTGGCCTCGGTCTTCGGGTTGGTGAGTCCGATCGCGAGCTGGAAAGCTCCCGTGATGAGTCCCAAGGAGACCAGCAGGATCTTCTTCGACCATAGGCTCTGTGTGGTTCTGTACAGAAAGTCGGCCACGAAGCCACCGGCCGGTCGGCAGATGATATTCAGTAGCCCGAACATGGCGGCCCATCGTCCGGACTCGGTCTGTCCCATACTGGGAAAGTTCGCTACATAGTAGTTTGCCAGAACGGACTCGATGGCAAGTTCTGCTCCGAAAGTGCAGGCGTATGGAATGGCGACGGCTGCAGTGAACATACTGAAGAGCACGTTCAAGGCCTCTTTGCGTGTGGGTGCTACCACCGTGTCCGTCCGCAGCGCGTCGAACTGACCAATCTGCTGGGACTCGGCTCCCAGGGACATGGGGGTCTGGGCGCCGCCTTTCTTCTCCACGTCCGCCATCATGTCGGACACCGAGGGGGCTTTGGATGGAATTCCCGAGTTGATATCAATGATGTTGCCCTCAGACTCGGTGGCTTCCTTCACCCAGAGATGACGCTCTGACCATTTGCCCGTCGGCGTGTCCTCACATACGAAGAGCATAGTCAGGGCAACCCCGACAATGATGATGAACGGCACGATATATGCCACGCGCCATGCTTTGTGTGGTGGCAAGCCCTGGACTTTGACGAGGGAATCGTATACAGCGGGCATAACGAAGCTGAGACAAGTAAGCCAATGACCAAGAGAGGTACAATGTTCAACATACAAGGTGATTCCGCCACCAGCATTGCCCCAGCCACCAGCCAGAGCATTCGCAGTCCCAACAATCTTCTTGTCAAAGAATCCCGTGCACCAGACCTGGCATGGGACAAAGGTACCCCCGAGGATACCCACGAAGAAGCGCAGGGCAATCAAGCCATTGGGAGTGGTGACAAGACCGGCCATGGCAGTTGGGATCGAACCACAAAGCAGCAGCCCGATGAAGACCAGACGAGGACCGAATTTGTCACAAAGGGGTCCTGCTACGAATCTCACAAGCAGACTAGCACATTGTCAACGGATGTCTATATAAAAACAGGAGTATGGGGCGGGAAGGCTTACGTCGCGAGCAGAGCAACGATGTTCGAGTTTGCGACCTGCGTCTCTGTCATCTTCAGATCTTGGCGAATTGTGTCGGTCAACTATATGAGGAACCTATGTCAACATTTGTCCATGCATGCGTATGGGTTAGGAGTCACTTACCAACGGTGGAAAGGCATACCACGACAGGAAAGCCACCATGAAACCCAGCCATGAGAAGAAGAAAACTCGACCATACTTGTCAAATGGGTTGAGGATGGGGATTGATTGTGCTTTGCGATTACTCGGGTTAATCTCCGGAGAGACAAAGAGTAGCTTGATGTGATCCATCGCCAGAAAAATTCGGTCGATGAAAATATCAACTGATGGTATACTGCCACTAGGAGACAGCAAGGATGTAAGGTACAGGAGGGATCTAAGCAAGTACAGAGAGAAGGGGTATCACAACGAAGACAAAACACCACCAGGGCGTATTAGATGCGAGTAGACCAACGGACGACTGGGTCCCGATGGAAGTGCAATGGGTATTGAGAGTGTGGTATAGGGCAATACAGGAGAATTAAGACCGAATTAGATCGATGGAGAGGACGTGTATATATAGACCGGTGCTTCGGATAGTGTCACAAGTGGAAACGTTCTTTTCAGGCGTAGGAAATGCTCCGACACCCCCGTGTGGGAGGTCACTTTCAAGGCATCAATCTATCTAGTTATCTATCTCCTAGGAGGGTCAGCGGTCTGATTACCAGTTGATTGATGCGAGTGGCTTGCTTCTGATAAAATTAAACGACATAACATTCAGAGAAACATAAATCAGTATCTCCTAGGAAATGGGTCAAGCTCAACACGGTGTGGCAGCAGGGCAAAAAATATTATTATCAGCAGCAACAGCAGCGAAATAAACAGAACCAAGGCAAGCCTGTGAACTCAATCTAGGAGCAATGGCCGGGGATCCACACCTGGCAGTCGGATTGAGCGTGGCTGTGGATACTGGGTCGCGCGGTAAGAGAGACCGTCCAGCGCGAGAGCCGGAGTCGCTAGTCATGGACCTAAGCAGGAAGATGACCTCAGGGTTCATGGCATGGCGATCGAGGCCCAGTTCATGGCCCTCATTGAGAGGCGTGGACCAACGAGACCAGTGCTGGAGATAAGCAAGGGTCTCTGCACGGCAGTTTAGGGCATGATTGGCATGGTTCTGGGGAACTGATAAGGATAAGGTAGAAGATCTGGAGAAGTAACTCCGCGGAGTGTAGATGGAAGAAGGATGACTGTTTGTGTATTTCCGGGGGGGAAATGAGTGGGTGTGTAGAGGGATAGGGAGGGGAGGAATGGTAGAGAGAGATTGGCGAGAGATAGACTAGTCGTCCGGAGTAGATAGGGAGGGACCCAGGGAATTGAGGCAGCCACCCATTACGGAGTAAGTCCACTCACTGATTCAGTCATTTACTCATTTACTCCTGCTTGACTAATTGTATCACGGGACAGAGACGGGGCCTCAGGAAGCGACGCGGTCACTTTCAGTTTCTCTCATCTTAAAAATTGACAATCACAACTGAAGAAGAAAGAAAGAGAAAAAAAAAATAAAATCAAACCCACCGGCAAGTGGGCCATCGTCACCGCAAGTCATCCTCCTCAAACCTCCGGTTGAAATATTTTGCAAGACCTGGTATCCATTTCTCCTTCGTCTACGAGCTAGCAAAAATTTTCTCCCTCTTTCTGAAGCTTGCCATTGCTTGACATTGCAAGAGTCTACAGAATACATCCCCAGTCGGGTATAGTAGGAGGTGCCGAGCTGCCAGCCACTACTCCGTACTATAGACTACTCCGTAGTGGCCAGCCAGATGGGGCGGCAGTAAATTAATAACGGGGGCCACTACTTACGTATTCCTCGCCTGTTTGGCAGGTGGATATCTATTCAGTACTCTAGTACTGTGAGTCCCCGTCTCGACCCGGTTTCGAACTGCTTCAGGGATCCATCTCTCTTCCGTCCGGATGGAAGATGTAGACACTAGACAGACTACAAA